AAGCCGTGAAAGAAGGACTATTCTAATCCTAAGTCGTATAGGATTATAGCACTTCTAAACTGCTTAGGTATAGTCCTTGAAAGGGTTATAGCTGCTAAACTTAGCTTTATAGCTAATACCCGCAACGACCTCCTATACCCTAGTTAAATAAGGGGTAGGAAATAACGTTCCGCTATCGACACGGCCCTCCTTCTCCTCCACTATATCGAAAAACAGCGTAAATCACGTTAAAATCCTATGATTTCTACGCTATTTCTAGTTATTAAAGGAGCTTTCGATCACATCGCCCGCCCCTACTCAGGACCCTTTAAGAACTCCAGCTCCTCTTAAACCTAGTTAAATAGGTAGTCTCCTTTATGTAAAGCAGGCGAATCTAACTAGCCTTCGAGGGCCAGGTTCAACAGCCTACCCCCCTAAATATAGGGGTTCTATAAGGCTCCCCGGTTTCCCCTATCCTTTTCCTGATTTATATTAGGAAGGTTACAGCCAGACCGGATTTTCGGAGTCTTTAGCTATCCTATATCGACGATTTTCAGCTATCTATAGCGTCTACGTCGACTAGGAAAAACTGCAAAACCCTGAAAAAAGCCATAGCCTCCCTTTTCGATGCAGTAAAAGATAACTAAGTCCTTTTCGACCCTGAAAAAATAGAGCTTATTCACTTCCATCGAAGACGCTCTAAAGAAGATACTCCGGTTACTATAGGGGGGCACCTAGTAAAACCCGTACTAGGTGCTATTAGGTGGTTAGGGGTCTGGTTTGACCCTAAGCTATCCTTTAAACCCCACGTCGAAAAACGCCTAAACTCAGCTTTAGGGGCCCTAAATAGACTATACAGGCTAGCTAGCTCGTAGAGGGGCCTTTCCTTTAAGGCCCTATAGCAGCTATATATAGCCTGTATAGCTTCCTTAGCTGATTTCGGCTTATAACTCTGGTAGCACCCTAAATCACCGAAAAAATACCTAGTGGACCGCCTAGAACGCCTATAGTACGGCGCTTTGGTCAGGGCCCTAGGAGCCTTTAGGGGGGCCCCCTTACGGCCTTTAGAACTCGAAGCAGTAGTTCCCCTAGCGGCGGTTCGGTTAACTAGGTCTAATAGGCTTTATGCCTTTAGGACCTTAAAATTCCTACCGAACCACTCTATTAAACGCTAGCTCCTAGGAGGGAAAACCCACCTCGCCCTCCTTTGGAACCTATAGCCTACTATACAGCTATATAGGCTAGGCCTAGAAATAGTGGCTTTAGTAGGCTAGTCTTGGGATATTGAGGGTCTATCGGCTAGGTGGGAGGCCCCCTGGGCCTCGGAACCTATAGCGGACCTAAGACCCTTTTCCCCCCTTAAAGACCTGCCTAAAGCAGATACCGACCCTGGCCCTGGCTCTAGCCCCGATACCCTCGATCAGAAAACAGCCCACCTCGAAGCCCTCGCTGAAATATAATAAAGCCTAGGGGAATAGGCTGCTGTTTTCTATACTGACGGCTCTCTAGGCCACCCTATTAGGCCCCCTACAGGGCCTTCTTAGGCTGCAGCTGCTATGATATAGTGGACTAGTACTGGAAGGCCCTGTAAAGCTCTAGGCTTTAACCTAGGGGCCGCTGCCGAAGTTGCGGACGCCGAGTTATACGCTATTCTTCAGGCCCTCCACACTGCCCTAAAGCAGATACCTAGGCCCCTAGAGTGCTATATTTTCAGCGATTCACAGGCGGCTATTCAGAAGCTTTAGCGTATATTATAGTGGGCTATAGAAGCTAAAGCCCTTATCTTACGCCTTAAATAACTAGGCATTTCGGTCTCTGTGTGGTGGTGCCCCTCGCACGTAGGGATAAAAGGGAACGAACTAGCAGATAAAGTAGCTAAAGGGGCATTAGACCCCGAAAACGCTACTAGTTCTATTAGTTTAGTTACCCTTAGCCACCTAAAACGCCGGGTTAACGAAGCCTTAATTTAAGACTGGAAAGCTCTTTAGAACGACAAACAAGAGGCGGAAAAAAGAGGTAAATCGGTGCGTTTAGGCCGCCTTTATAGGCGCCTAGTCCGCGATAACCTCCGGTTCTCCCGAAAACCACTACTAATATAAGGCCCTAGGTAGGTAAAATCGGCTTTTAGGTAGTTAAAACCCGGCTTTGGATACCTAAAAACCCACTAAAAAAGGGCCTAAAACTGCGCTAACGACCACTATTCCTGTCCCGGCTCCCCTATACAGGATACAGTACACCTTATTCTTTCCTGCCCTTTTTATAAAAATGAACGAAAAGCCCTACGGGAAGCCCTAGCAGGCCTACCGCTATCTCTGCCGCTATTATTTAGTACTAAAAGAGGAATACAGGCCTTATAGGCTTATCTTTTAGCTACTAAAATAGCCTCGGCAGAGTAGTACAGGGCGTAAACCACGATTCCTGCGGTCTAGTTATTTTGCTTTGGTTTTTTACCTATTAGGTTTATTAGGCAGATTATAACGGAGGATTTCCTTTGTTTATTAGAACGCTTTATTTTACTGTACCTAGCTTCTGATAGCCTTTAGCCCTTAGGGCGATAGGCGCCGCGCTGTAGCTTTAGGGCTATATGCGCGTAATAAATAAATAAATAAAAACAATAAACCTATAAAGTCGCTAATACCACGTGATAGTATATACGCGTCGATTCCCGAGGTCCGCTAATATTAGGGTATAATAGGTTTAATCCTATATACCGCTATTATAATAAGACCCGATATCGTGTTCGCTTATTCGAAGCTTTCCTAATATAACGTTAACCCCTCCTTTAACCACCTTAAAAGGGCCTAATAAGTGCTACTATTCTTATATTACATGAGGCACTATTACCTAGAATTCGGTGGGGATACACTCTTCCTAACCGTAAACGACGCGTCCTTCGGGGATAATCCAGATCGTAAGAGCTCCTAAGAATACGCGATAAAGCTCTTCGGCGGTACTATTAACTAGAAGGCGGGTAAGTAACCGATAGTTACGATATCGTTAACAGAGTCGGAACTACTCGCTCTTATAGAGGCCGCTAAGGAGACGTTATTCATTAGTCGGATATTAAGGGATCTAAAGCTTTAGTTAGATTAATAATAACTATAGCTATACTATAATAATTAGTAGACTATTAACCTCGTTGATAAGAAGGTATAACGCCTGCGAATAAGGCTATAGCACGTCGATATTTATAACTAGTAGGCGCGCTAGTTAGTATAGTAAGGACTCTTTAAGGTTATATATATTAACACGAAGGATATAATCGCGGATAGTTCAATAAAGGCATTACCGGAGGCGGGGATTAAAAGACTATAGTAATAGCTTTAATTTAATTAATTAAAAGGATCGTATCGAGTAGTCTAAACGACTACACGAAAATATTAAACGCGCTAAAGCGGCCGTAATAAAGGCCCCCGAGGGCGTAGCAGATCCGATAGATATAGATCTAATTAATCAGATCCGGCTAATCAGGATCGAGGAACCAATTAAGATAGAATTGAGTTAAACGGTTAAATAGGGCGGATTTAGATCCCTTTTACGAGGGCGTTTTCCCTTAACTATTAACTTTACGATAGAAAAGTTAAGAGCGTTTAGTTTAAACCGAAGCCTCTAATCAGTTAGTTAACCTAGGAAGACCCACCTTAACTAAGGGGTGTATCGTATAGGTATACGGACTACGATATAGTCTATAAGGGATCTAGGGGGGATCTACACTATAACTAAGGGCTTCGGATATCGGGGACCTCGGGTATTAGGATATAATAGGGGCGGGTACCGGAAAAGACCGGATAGGATCTAAATAATATAATACCTATAACAGAGTCTTCACCACCTAAATTAAGGGTATAAGAGACTCTTATAGATATAACTTAATATAATACACACACACGAGATTTCTACTCTACTAAGTTAATTATATAAGTGCTATTCAACGTGCGATAGCTATACTAAAAGAAAATTCCCTTTTAGTGTAGCGGTACGTTTTTAAGTGTCACAGTTATAAGCCCGGGAGGATTTATCCTATAACTTCCACTCAAAAGTCACCCATTCGAAACGCATCTATACCACCTGTTTTAAGGCAGTAGTTATACGCAGAGCCTAAGCCTAATCGAGCAGCTATATTACTAAGCAGAGATAGTACTTATACGCTGTCTTCTCGATATCCGCGCGATACAGCCCATAAGCACTACGGTAAGTCCTTACAGGCTAGGGGGTGTGTCGCGATTAGGTGCAGACCACTATATAACTACCAAAAGTACCTATACTACAACGGAATTCTCTTTTGGTGTAGCGGTCACTTTTGGATCTTCACATGATTGTACAAGCACGACGTTTACTATTTTCAATTTTCCCAGCCAACTCCCCTTCTAAGTAATCTGTTAATTCCTCGTTGACCAGCTACGGAAGAACGAGAACGGATATGCCACAAATGTAGCATGGTCGGCCCCAACAAGAGGCCGAGGATGAAGGATGATTGCTCGTCCTCTATCATCCGTCATCCATCATCCATCATCATCCATCTCAATGGCCCAGGCAAGTCGCAGTTGCCGCCCATAGCCCCCAAGCAGGGTCCCGCAGAGCCATGGAAACATGAACGTCTCCTGCAAACGCCGGAGACTCCCTCAGCCAGGTCTTATAGGTGCCTCACCAGTCGTCTATCTTCTATCACATCTCCACGTCTCAGAACATATGGGTCATGGAAATTCTCCTTTGTCGGTCTACCAATAACCAAAAACGAGACATTATACACGTTGATATCGTCATTTGACTGCCTTCCCCGTGTAAAAGCCTAGGCCAATATCCTCCTCCTGGAATGCTCACGAGAAGGTTGGCATTTGGACTGCCGATGGCCCCCATCAAGTAAACGGACAAGTAAGCACGAGCTGCATGACGCCTAGATATGTAGGTTGCCGGTTCGTCCTTTGCATGGGAAGAGCAGCGAGACCCGTGTATACATAATGGTCTCGCTCCGTAGTCGTAATGCCGACAGGATGTTGAGCTCGCCTTTCTTTTATTTAAGTCCTGAGTAGGTCTCTGTCTCCTCAATGTCTTCGACGGAATCCCACCTACAAAGCACAGTGAGTCAAGCGATTCTATAAGAGAAACGGTACACGATGCTCGAGCCAGTCATCGAAGAAGATGAGAACGACTTCGGGCTTTGCAACGCCAACCCGGGACATGGTCACGATTCCACAGATAGAAGAGCTTCAGATGTGTTGGTCTTACAAAAGGGCATCAAATCCATCTCTCAAGCTGTGCAAGGTTAGCTAGCAATCCCAAGAAGAGAGGAGAAACAAAAGGCACCAAAGTGCAGCAAAACTAACACCCTAGCGAAGCCTACAAACAAAGCCTGCCGCCCTCGCTTACATCGCAAGAGAGTTCCCATGATGGCTTCTCTCCCTCTCACGCCTTCCAGAATCACAACCTTCCACGCTTCCGCCGCCGAACTGGTCAGCCCTACCGAATCGCCCAACCGACGTCCCTCTCCCTTACCACACAGTATCCCACTCCGCCCCCGCCGTCCTCACGCCTACACCTGAACGACCTGAGCGAAAAAGATCTCCTCGCCGCCCTCCAGGCCATCCGCAAGGAGGAAGAGGCGAGAATGCATACCCGCCGTAAAAGCTTCCACATCGTCGACTTTGACCTCCCCTTGCCACCCTTTAGCCCCCTCCGCGTTCCCTTCTCCCCATCCACCTGTTCGTCTCGTCGTCCGTCGACGTCTACCGTCGTCAGCACCACCAGCACGTCCAGTACCTCAAGTAGCAGAGCATCCACACTGCTAGCTCCCGTGACATACATAGCCGCCGACGGAGACAGAGACAGGGGCCGCCGCGAGGAGCGAGGTCAAGAAATGGAAAAGGGAAACGAGAGCGAAGAAGACGGGGTTGCCCCCTACGCGGAATGCGGAACCCACCAGCTCGTCCACGCCAAAGAGCGCCTCCGGGACTTGGAACAGCAGCTTCAAGACGCTGTGTGCTGCCTGCAGGACTGCGTCCAGGCTGTCTTGAGACGGCCAGGGGGTGGTACCGCCGAGAGGGTTAAAGGCCAGCGACAACCGCAGCAGCAGCCCAATCATCAGAAGCAGGAGTTCCAAGGAGCAGTGGGGAACGGGGCGCGACAGGGTACGGCGCCGGTGGTGGTGGATGCGCTACAGGACAAGCTAGCGAGGTTGGGCAGGGCGCATGAAAGGGTGGCGACGGAGCATGCGCTCGTGACGGCGGAAATCAAGGCCAGGGCGCCTGGCGTGATTTGGGATGGGACGATGGAGGCTCTGGCACGCATGGCCCGTGGTGATCGGGAGATGGAGACGGAGTAGGACAGGATAGGATAGGATAGGATAGGGTAGGACATAGATAGGGTAGAGGATCGTGAATCCTGAACCATAGAGAGGAGCCTGACACGTTCTTGTCCCCAAGACGTCCACTTTGAACCTTACTCCGTACAAATAAATGCCATAGATACCTTGGAAGGAGAGAGAAACGCGCCCCCCCCCACCCGGCGTTAAAGATTGGGAAACGTTTGGAGCCTCACTATATGAACATTTGCCCACTTAGTCACATCAACGCACCCAAAAAGAAAAACTCAAAAGCAAAAATTCAACAAGTCAACATCAGCAAGCCTGTCTCCAGGTCTCCAGTCTCCAAGCCTCATCGGCCTTTTACAAGTACCTCTGCATCATGTCCTTTAACCGCTTCAAAGGCATCGCTTCCACTCTCCTCCCTCTGAACCCCTCAATCGGCTCGGCCATGCAGAGCGCGTTGTAGACGGCCTCCTCCGTGGCGTCGGCCGCGGCCTCGAATAAACCGTTCATGGTGCCATCCTCCACCACCTGGATCTCGCGCGCCCGAGGCTTGTACGGGTCGACGGCGGGAGCCCCGCTTGAGGTCAACTTCTGTACCGGCACGCTGTTGCCCGTAGAGAAGGCCAGGAAGATGTCCCCCGCCGGGTCGTGGCCGTATCCGCCGGTCCGGGCAATCCCGACGGATGCGCGCTTGGCCAGGCGCTGGCACTGGGCCGGCGAGAGTGGCGCGTCGGTGGCGATGACGACGATGACGCTGCCGTCCCTGTATTCCTTTCGCGTCCCCATCTCGGCTTGCCAGCGGAGGTGGTCGTACAGCCGGGCCTCTAGCTTGGCCTCGGCTTCGGCTTGCGCCTGCGCCAAAGCCTGCGCTTCGGCCTGAGCCCTGGCTGCCTTAGACTTATTGTGTGCTCGCTCTTGCGCCTTGGCATAAGCCTCTACCTGCGCATTTGCATCGCCGAACGTCACGGGTACGAGTCGGAAATTGTGGTGATAGGTGTGGCCCCCCCGAGCCGGAGCGGCTCCGGCTGGAGCCGCTTGTGTTTGGGATCCAGCGCTGCCTCCGCCAATGGGTTGTTGCGGTGCCATTGGTGGTGGTTGAGGGTACGGCGGCTGCGGCTGCGGCTGCGGCTGAAATGTCTGTTGCTGCTGTTGCTGTTGATGCTGCGGGTATTGCTGTTCGTATGGGCTCTGTTGTTGGTACATGCTCTGTTGCTGGTACGGGCTCTGGTTTTGGTACGGGTTCTGGTGCTGGCGCTGGTTCTGCTGCTGCTGCTGCGACAACTGCAAGGCCTGTTGAGCAGCCGATTGCTGTCCATGCTGTGGAAGTTGCCGTCTCGCTTGCTGAGGCTGCGGCTGTGGTTGCTGTTGCTGTTGATGTTGTCCTCGCCGTCCCGATTGTTGCTGTTGGTTTTGAGAGGATGTATGTTGATCATCATCTTCTTCTTCCCGCTCCTCCTCTTCTTCCTCCTCTTCTTCCTCCTCTTCGTCCTCTACGCTCTCGTCGCTGTTTATTGGTACCGCTTGCCGTCGTTCCCTTCCTTCCTGTTCTCGTTGCAACTGCTGTTGTCGCTGCTGTTCCGCTTCCTGCTGCTTCCGTAGTTGTTCCTCTTGCTGCTGCTGCATCCGTTGCTGCTCTCGCAGCCAGTGCTCCCGCTGTTGGTGCTGCTGGTCGAAGATGCGACCTATGGGGACGCCGGCGATGCGAAGGTGAGAACCCTTGCCGTAGTTTGCCTGGACCAGAACGCCGACGGTGTAGGACCGTTCCTCATTTTCTTCCTCGTCTTCTTCTTCGCCGTCGTCTTCTCGCCTGGTTCGCTGCGGGGCCGGTATAACACGCGAGGCAGAACCGGTACCTCCTTTCCAGTGGTGGCAGATGGCGCCGGTGCCGCCACCCGTGTTGCCTTCCTTGACGGGTTCATCGGTGGCAAGGTCGATACTGCGGGTGACATCCTGGGCCTGGACAGACATCTTGGTGATGTCGCTGAGGTAGCCGTCAAAAATCTCGGCAACAACGGGGACCATGAAGACGTCGAGCTCTCCGCTCTCGACGCAGTAGTTGCGGATGGCATACTCGTAGATGCCGCGGTGGGCGTCACCGACGGCGAGGGAGTTGGTGAGGACGATGGGAGAGTTGAGAAGGCCCGTTTCGTCGAGCCACTGGGAACCGGTCAGCTCGCCGGCACCGTTGAAGCGGTGGAATCCGGCATAACAGGCCTCGGTAAACCAGGTTTCCCGGGGCAGGATGACGGTGACGCCTGTGTTGACGGAGCGGTTAGGCTGAACCGACTCGGCGGCGACGAGAACGCCGGGTACGTCGGTCAGGGAGTTTTTGGGACCCGGGGCCCAGGAGCCGAGGTAGAGGGTGGGAAGTAGGTCGCGGACGCGGGTGCGCTCTTCGACTTTCTTTTTCACGGCGTCGACTTTCTTCTTGGTGGGATCCTCGACCGGGATGGGAGGGGGATGGTTATGAGTATCATGGCCGGGGATGTGAAGCCACTCGGTGCCGGTCAGTAGGAGTGAACCCGACCAGGCGCAGCCCGTCTTGGTGGTGCGGGCGACGCGGATCCCGCGACTGGCGGGCTTATAGCGGCCCCCACGGTCGCAGGCCAAGTCGACACGGTAGTATTCGCCATTAGGTCGTTGACGAGTCTTCAGGATGGTGACATTGTAGCCGAAGCGACCATAATGCCGCTTGACGGAATCGAGGAGGTCATGACGGTCATGGCTCTTGAGGGGCGGGTAAGGATCTGGGCAGGGGGCAGTCATTGTAGAGCCCGCATACGAAGGGCATCATAAGATCCCAAAGATCCGTAATCGGGCTCCTCAACTCTTCAGCCCTCTCAATCTTTGCTTCACTTACACCGGTCAACGAGACGCGTCGCTGAAAAGCGGTTTTGCGAGCTGAGCGCGTTGGCGTTTAAGGTGGGCCGAGTAGGTAGGGACACGAATTGGGTAAAACTGAGCGCCGGAGGGAAGCTAGGGGGGGTGAAGGCCACGTGATTGACTGGATGGTTCAGTGTGCTCCGTGCGTAATGTCAGTGGCTGAGATAATCATTACTCGGTCTCCCCAATTAATTACTAATTAATACCGGGACTCAATAGGGAGACCTCACGTTTTAATATCCAGACCTCACGTTTTAATATCCAGACCTCACACGTGATATTTTAGTGGGGCCATGAACCCGCCGCCAAGACGTATATATACCGTACCTATTTTATATAGATATATACTTTATATAGAAAATCGCAGACAATATCGTAAACCTGAATATATTACTTACTATACCGTATCTCTAAATCTAACCGCCTAAAATACTATAATAATAAGCCACGATATTATATATAATATCTTATATAATATCCTATAAAAAATACCCGATTATTAACCCTATAGGTCCGAGCTAAGTGTTAAGATTTAAGTATTAAGATTAAATATTAAGATTTAAGTTAGTTACGATATAACCTACGATTTTATACATAATGTGTACATATAAAATAGGTGCGGTATATATATATCTTGGCGGTGGCGTCTTGGCCCCACTAACATGTCACGAGTGAGGTCTCGATATTGAAACGTGAGGTCTCCCTAGGTATTGAGTCCCTCAATACCTCCCTTGCCCCCCACCGGCCATTCCCTCTATCCTTCTTGCAGTATTTCTGTTTGTGCTTCCCTTCCCCTGTAATTTCTTCGCAACAATAGCTAACTCCGTACGGCAGCCACTCCATGTTCCTTACGTAATGTACCATAAAAGCTTAAGGTGATGTACATAATCCTGGGGATGCGGGGGAAGGTTCAACCCAGCTGTCCATACAACGTATTGATCGTTCTCCCCACCGTTTCCACTTCTCTTTCCCCGCGCAACGATCAACTCGCTATTGCCGTGTTGGGATAGCCGGCCATTCGGTACTTGTCCCTTGGGGGCACCTGCACTTGACCAGACTGATTGATGAGCACTTGGAACGCGGCGATTATAATTGGAGAAGACGAGAATGGATGTACACGGAAGGTACCTTACTCTGCCGTCCACCTCCCCGACTTGGACCTTCCCCTACCTAATATCTGGTGCAGAGGTAGGTACTGCTGTGTCTACCTTATACATACTCCTTACGGAGTATTCCTCCACTATTACTCCTCACTTCTCCACGTCCTCGGTACCTCCTCACTTTACTTCGTCTTGACCGAGGGCCGAGATCGTTACTCAACTCATAGCTTTCATCGTCTCTGCCTTTTCTTCTTTTCTTTTTTCAACATACAACCACACTCGACATCCCTTCATATTCTTTTTATCATTATTGGTATCTTAACAATTCCTCGTCTTCTTCTATCTCCTACCATCTCACTTCTTACACTAGCCCTAGCTTTGGTTTTGTGCTTCCACCATCATCCCGAAGGTGATTAGTGATCCATCCGAGCTCCCTGTTGCCGCACCTCGACACCGCTTCCTGTTGATGTCCTCGCCGTCCTTTTCGTCCTCATTCTTCTCGTTCTGTTACTTTCGTCATTTCGACTGCCCGTTCATCAAATTCATAGAGTCGATAGCCCGATCTTGCATGATCTAGGCATTGAGCTCTATCCTTTGGCTTGACGTTACATCTCTCATACTTCCTCTCTTCCTCTCTTCCTCTCTTCCTCTCTTCCTCTCTTCCTCTCTTCCTACGTAGTTGCAACGATGACACCCTCGGTCCGAGTTATCCCAAACGTGAGTCCTTATTGTCTGCTCTGTTTTTGCGAGGCGGTCCTGTCCCACTAACACGTCACACCGTCTGCTCTAGGCCGCTACCAGGGCAGTGAGCCTTCTCAGGACTATTCAGTATACTCATCCCCCCTCCTGTCCCTGTCACTCCAATCCGAATCACCACCATCACCATATCCCCCCTGCCCCGACTTTCACCCCTCGGCCTCTCCGTACCTCCGGTGCCTCCTCCGCTCGCCGTTATGCTACCCCGGCGGAGCCTCTGAAGGAGTACGCCTTCGAAATGGCCGCCTCTTCTATTCGCTTCGGGCCCGGTTCAACCCAGGAAGTCGGGCTAGACCTGAAGAACATGGGTGCAAACCGCGTCGCCGTCGTCACCGACCCTACTGTCGACCGCCTGGTTGCCATGGATCAGGTCCGCCAGTCCCTCGACCGCGAGGGAATCTCCTACCGTGTCTACAACTCTACGCGTGTTGAGCCCAAGGACTCGTCCGTTCGCCATGCCATCGACTGGGCTCGCCCTTATGCCCCTGACGTCTTCCTCGCTGTCGGCGGCGGCTCCGTCATAGACACCGCCAAGCTTATGAACCTGTACTCCTGCTATCCGGATGCCGACTTCCTCGACTTCGTCAATGCCCCCATTGGCCGCGGCCTCCCCGTCGACAAGCCTCTCAAGCCCCTGATTGCCGTCCCTACCACTGCCGGCACCGGCTCCGAGACCACTGGAACTGCCATCTTCGATCTCGTCGAACGCCGCGCCAAGACTGGCGTCGCCCACCGCAACCTTAAGCCCACGCTGGGCATCTGTGATCCCCTCAACACCGCCACCATGCCCGCCGCCGTCAAGGCCGCCTCTGGCCTCGACGTTCTCTGCCACGCCCTCGAGTCGTGGACCGCTATTCCCTACAACCAGCGCGTCCCTCGACCCAATAACCCCATCAACCGCCCCGCTTACCAGGGCGCGAACCCCATCAGCGACGTCTTCTCCTTCCATGCCCTCCGCAGCACCATCAAGTACCTTCCCCGCGCCATCCGCAACCCCGACGACCACGAGGCCCAGTCCGAGATGCTCCTGGCCGCCACCCTCGCTGGCGTGGGTTTCGGCAACGCCGGCGTCCACCTCTGCCACGGCATGTCCTACCCCATCTCCGGCCAGAACCCGACCCAATATCGCCATCCAGGCTACGACGTTCCCCACCCCCTCATCCCCCACGGCGTCAGCGTTGCCGTCACCGCACCCGCCGTCTTCCGCTTCACCGCCGCCTCGAACCCCGAGCGCCATCTCGCCGCTGCCGAGGTCTTCGGCGTCGACGTCAGCCGTGTCCGCAAGGAAGACGTTGGCGCCGTCCTCGCCGATGCCATCGCCAAGTTCCTCGCCGACCTTGGCGACCAGCCCAACGGCATCAAGGCGCTTGGCTTCACCAGTGCCGACGTTGATGCTCTTGTCGAGGGCACGCTTCCCCAGCGTCGAGTCCTGATGCTGGCCCCCGCCCTAGAGGACGATGTGCAACGGGAAAGGGAGCAGCTGAGGGCTCTTTTTGAGAATGCCATGACACATCATTAAAGGCTAGCAAGGGATATGAGAGAAGCATGTCGATATTGTGCACGTACATGACATGAGTATCTTGGATAGTTCCGGCCGTCTGCCACGCGAGATTGGTGATATAGGCTAGCTTAGGTGTTTTCTTGCATAGCCGTCATTTCATGTATTTTCTCGCTTTACCCTCGTCGCACATACACGTCCCAATACAACGCACGAAATTTGAACCACTGATGGGAATGTTCAAAAAAATAGATTATATGATCAGAGTAATAAGGTAGGTAACTTAAATGTCAAGGTACAACGCAGAAAATAGTGCCTGAACGAAGCAAGATGGTATTATGTAGTGTCTGACGCCCAAAAATGTCTATAGAGTTTTTACCATTTGTTCCTTTTTTCTCTTCTCTCATCCCTCTCTTTCTCGGTGATAAAACCACCCTGCGACAAAAAAGAAAAAGAAAAAGAAAAGACTTTTTGGAACTTAATAGACTTCGAGCACGTAGCGACCTTCCTCCTTGAGCTTCTCAATCTCATTGCGCGCATTGACCTTCTTGCCCGTGAGACGGGCCTCGTACTCGATGGCCTCCTTGAGCACATCGGTGACGTCGGGCACGGGCCAGGTAGGACCGCAGAGGTAGAAGCTTCCGCTGTCGCGGACGTACGCCTGGACGATGTCCTTCATGGTCTGGCGCATGCGGTCCTGGATGTAGATCTTCTGGGGCTGGTCGCGGGAGAAGGCGGCGCCGAGGAGGGTGATGACGCCGGCGTCGAGGTAGGCCTCCCACTCCTCGCCGTAGAGGTACTCCTCGCGCTGGTGGCGGGAGCCGAGGTAGAGGAGGATGGGGCCGATGTCCTCGCCGCGGGCCTTCTGCAGGGCGCGGTACTGGACGAAGGCGCGGAACGGCGCCAGGCCGGTGCCGAGGCCGGCCATGATGAGGGGCGCCTTGGGGGAGGCGGGCAGCTTCATGACCGACGGCTTGACCGAGACGGTGACCTTGGCGCCGACGGGGAGGCGGGAGAGGTAGCGCGAGGCGTGGCCCCAGCGGGTGCGACCGCGGGTGTCGACCCAGTCGACGACGACGATCATGAGGGCGACGGCGTTGGGGGTGACGGCCTGGGCGGAGGCTATGGAGTACTCTCTGCGCTTGAGCGGGGCGACGATGCGGACCAGGTCGTGGAAGCTGGGGCGGGCCGACGGGAACTCCTGCAGGATGTCGACGTAGGTGACGGTGTCCCCTTCGCTGCGCTTCTTGAACTCGGCGGCGCCGTCCGGGCCGCCGAGGGCGGCGAGCTTCTTCTTCTCGGCCTCGTTGGTGGCGAACTCGGCGAGCGCCTCGTAGAAGCGCTTGGGAGGCTTGCCCAGGACGTCGATGTTCTGCTTGAGCCCCTGGTAGACGGTGCGGGTGTCGAGCACGGTCGGGTCCTCGCGCGAAGGCACCTGGACGACCTCGTCCGGGTTGAGACCGTACCAGGCGATGAAGGCCTGGACCTGCTCGTCGTCGTTCTCGGCGTGGATGCCGAGGGCCTCGCCGATCTTGTAGGTGACGCCCGAGTCGCCGAGGTCGAACTCGATGTGGAAGATGTTGCGGTCGTACGTCCCGGGGGTGAGTCGGCGGTTCTCCTTGACGGTGACGGTGTGCGTCTTGACCGACAGCTCGGGACGCAGGTTGGACTGGGTGCCGTAGGCCTCCTTGAAAGCGAGGCCCTTGGCGGCGGCTTGCCAGTCGAGCAGCTTGCCGCCTACCTCCGCCTCCGACTCGGACTGGTCGAAGGGAACGAAGCTGTTGGCGGTGAGGTTGACCGGGAGCGCGGGCCAGACAAAGTCAACAGGAAGCTCGGTGGCGGCGGCAGGGATGTCGAGCTTGCGGACCGCGACCTCAAGAGCGTCCAGAGTCTCCTGGAGCGAGGGCGTAGCGCCGTCCTTCAAGGTGGCCTGGGCAACGTCTTGCACCGAGATGTCCGGGCGAGCGAGTTTGAGGAAGGCAAATTCGAAGAGCGCCTTGGTAGCGGCAGGGTCCTCCTCGAATGCAGCCGATTGGGAAGTGTCGAATACGAAAAGCTCCACGCCCTTGTCCACGATGCTCTTGCAGACAAAGGCGGGAATGCGCTTCTCGAGATCTTCCTCCTTGAAGTTCGGAAGCTTCAGGAGAACCTTGCCGCCCTGCTTGACGCTCCGAATGATGTCAACCTCCTTGAGAAGCTTCTCGTCGCCGACAGCAACGACGTCGCCTTCCTCAACAGCGTAGGGCGCATCAATGGCCTTCCGGGAGCTGCGAATGTCTGTCCGCAAGGCACCGCCCTGGATCAGGTTGTCGAAGGTTTCGTCGACGTAGACGCTCTTGGCGGACTCGCAGGCAAGAAGCTTCCCAACGACGGCAGGGGATTGGGCTAAGACGGAGCTGTCAACGTCCCAGAAGGTGTACTGCTGGGCCTCGACCAGGAGGGGGAAAGGCTTGATCGCGGCATCCTTGTCTTCAAGCTTGGTGAAGATGTCGGCGACGGCCTGGGGAGTCAGGGCTACTGAGGCAGCATACTTGACGTCGGCGACGACGGGCGACTGGGCCCACTTGCCGGAGAAGGAGACTGCGGCCAGAACATCGGCATAGAGAGCGGATTGAAGAGATACATCCTCAATGGCAGCCTCATCCCTGACCTGGCCCAGAACGGCAATGCGGCGGGCGGCGGCGGGGATGGCGTCGAGGAAGGCCTCTTCGACGAAGGGGCGGTACACACGGACGTTGATGGCGCCGACCTTGGCGCCGTCAGCGGCGAGACGAGCCACGACCTGCTTGGCGATCTGGGCCTCGACGCTGCCGAAGGCGACCAGGACAGTCTCGGCGTCCCTGTGACCGTGGTACTCGAAGAGGTCGTAGGCGGTGCCAAGCTCCGAGTTGAAAAGCTTGAGCAGTTCCATGACCTTGCCCGCATCGTCGAGCCTCTTGTTGAGGTAGGTGACCTCTTTCGAGATCTTCTTGTAGGTCTCGGTGACACCCTTCTTGTTGAGGGCGCTGGAGGCCTTCATGGTTTCCCTCGCCAGCCTAACGCCTTCCTCGACGCCGAGAGTAGGAGTCAGGGCAGTCATGAGGGTGGCGAGCAGGGCGGTGTGGTTCGACTCGGCGTCCTCGTCGGATCCCAGCTCCTTGCTGACGAGGTTCAGCAAGTTCACGACTTTGGAGGAGATGGCCTGCCTCTCCTCGGCGGCGGGCGAACCCTGGGTGAGGGTGTTGTAGAGGTCGGCGATGCCGCTCTTACTCAGGGCGTCGACGATGCGCGAGGTCTCGCGGGCGAGGCGCACGCCGTCGTAGACGTGCAGGGTGGGGAGGACGGCAGCCATGAGGGTGGCGAAGAGGGCCATGTGCTGGGCCTCGGCGGCGGTGGAGCTGGAGACGAGACCCAGGCCGAGCTCCTCGGCAGTGCGCAGGGCGGTATCGTACTCGGAGAGCAGGCCGTTCTGGGCATCGTAGTCGAGGGCGGCGACGTGGGCGACGAAGGGGGAAGCGACTCCGTAGAGGAGGCTCAGCTGGTCGAGGGCACCACGAAGATTCTTCAAGCTCAGGCTGGGCGCGAGCAGAGACTGGGGGACGTGGCGCTTGGACATGTCAAAGTCCGGGCTGAAGATGTAACCGAGGGCGAGGGCGCCGGCACCGGTCCTGGTCTGCAGCTGTATGACATCGGTATGCTGACCGCGGATGTTGCGCTCTTTGGCCTCGGCCCAGGCACGAGCGGCGACATCAAGATCGAATGTGGGAGCCGAGTAGCTGAAGATCTTGTCGGAGAGGAGATAGGCGACCTGTTGGACGAGCAGCTGGGCCGTCACATAAGTCGGACCAGAGATGGAGGACAGAGCAACGTGTTGACCGAAGGGCAGGGCAGAAGAGGACTTGTTGTTGTTGTTGTCCGAAGCAGGCTGAGGCTTAGAATCGAGGACGGCGGCACCAGCACCGGCGCTCTCTTGCGGCTTGAACTGCATGATGGAGGTGAGGTGGTTCCCAAGTGTAGGATTGGAGGAGAAGCGAGGCAGCCTTGAAGTAAACAGTAAACCAAGCAATGCGACGAGGAGGCAGAGAGCAAGGTACGGAGCGTATTCCTTGTCGAAGTCGAACCTGGGTAGCTGGAGGAGAAGGGATTCAAGGATGAATTGCCAGGTCACTTGCATACATGTGCCTAGACAAAACCCAGGTTGGTATGAGAGAGTGACGGCCTCGGAAATCGAGGTAAGATGGAGGCCAACTCTAGCCACCACCTATCGAAGATGAGGGTTGAAGGAAGAGAGGATGAGGAGGGAGAGGGGGCGGAGGAGGCGGAGGAGGAAAAGTGAAGAGGAGAGGAAGATATCAATCTCAGAACGGGAGGAAAAAGAGATTGCACCGAGGACCGGAGGAGAGACGCGCCGGGTGATTAGAAGAAGAAGGACACTGCGGCGAGGGTTGGGGGGAAGAGGGCGAAGGGTTCTTTTTCCGGGTCTACTGTACGGAGTGGTAAAGAAATCCACTTCCTCCCGTTGCTGTTACCAATCGTATGCCCAGAAAATTATCCTGGGCAATTTCATAGTTCGGCCATCTTGCCGACACAGGGGTAAAGGCTCCATTCTGGTCCCGTCCATTGTCATGGTGGTTGCATCTTTCTTCTGTCTGGTGGGTAAAAAATTGGGCAGAATGGTGAAGGCGATGGTCGTGAGAAGCTCCAGAGGCGTGGACGTCAAAATGGCCCAAGATCACGCAATCCGCGCTAGTCTTATAAAGGGTTAGTGTCTACATGGTCTTAGGAGCATGGACCATTTGCCGGTCTCTCTTTTTTGTTTTTGTGGGGGAGCACCGGGAACGGGACTTTTCACTCCAGATCACGGTTTAGAGTATTGATTACCAGAATTACCTAATTTCAGAGTGCGCGCGACTGTAGGTACGTACCTATAACTCAGCCTCAACACCTCCTTAGCCACAAAGACAATATTCCGACGACTTTCTGCTTCGTAACTATGTGACGCGAATTTCTTTATGAACTCATTGTCATGACATCATATTAGTCATAATATCGTTTCAAATGGAATGGCCAATGCAACGTTCACATGACTCAGCCAAGTAAGTGGCAATTTCAGGAACCAAACCGTTGCGAACGGCGTCCAAGATCCCCTGGATCCATATAAACTCGGGACCTACTCCGTAGATCTCATCTTAGCTTTTTGCGCCTTTTGTGCCGTTGATGCATTCTTGATTGTCGAGCCATTTCTGCCGGAAAATGGCAGTACACGAAGAATCAGAAGGAATAGGGAAGATAAATCGCCGACATGGCGGCACAAGTACCGCAATACAGATGGGTGGCTATATAAGAGAACGACCTAGGTACTGATGCTCAACGATTCTCAGCTCTAACTTGAAGTCACAAAAAGAGAATCATCAGTTGAACCTGCTCCTGACTTTTACTGTCCAACCTCCAGCTTCCACTATCGTGCTACACCCCACAGATTCACAGGTCGAGCCTTCTCACTAACCAAGTTGTGTCACCATTATTATATTAATCGTCAACCTTCTTTCTTCAGCTCGTGCCTCTCCTTCATCCGCAAATCCCCTCCAACAGAGTAAAATCCTGACTTCTAGAGACTTCATTCAACTCCATTTCGAGAGACGTCAAGAGATCACCGCGCAAAAATGGACAATCCTGGTCGATCCGGCACCACACCGTCGAAACGGCGACTTCCTTCATCTGCCATCGTCACAACGTCTTTCCTCATCGCCAACTTGCACTGCCCATCATGCGTTTCCGCCATAAAGGAAGCTCTCCACGATGCCTGTGGTCACGATATCCTCTGGGTATCGCCCAATATCGTCACATCCGTTGTCGCAGTGCAGCATAAGTACGTCGGTTCCGGTGCTGCCGACGCCATCTCCCGCATGGCTCGGTGCCTCGGGGATACCGGCTTCGAAATATCCACCATATCCACGACCGCCATCGCCGCAGGCAGCAAGAGTTTGGCTAACTTGACAGATTTGACAACGGCGGGTTCGGCCCGAGGCCAGGCCGCTCGTCGAATGGGGCCTCATTCTGACGTCCTATACAGCAGCGATGATGGACCTCTCGACCGGCTGCTCGATCTCTCAGGCCTCGCCTTCTCTTCAGCTGCCGCCGAGTCTCGCAACCGACGAGAAGCACACCTTGCCAACTATGAGCAGTGCCGACTTTCAAGCCAGACCTCGCCGCATTCTGGGAAATCACCCCGAAAATCACCCCATGTTTCCAATGTGGGGGATATCGCCATCTCCTGTTCCACCGAGCCTAGTGTGCTCGACGTTGACGGACTTGCTCCCCTCAAGAGCGTAGTAACGGACACCGGCCCCAGCTCTCCGCCCTCTGGACCACGTTCCCCGCGCGCTTGGAGAGCAACACTATCCATCAGGGGTATGACTTGCACGTCCTGTTCCCGCACCATCGAAGAGGAACTCGGCCGGAGACCAGGCGTCGCCCACGTTACCGTCAACTTGGTGAACAACAGAGCCACCGTGGACATTACAGACGAAATGGAAGCCGACTCCCTTGTCCGAGCGGTTGAGGACTTGGGCTATGAAGCTGTGTTCGAAGGTTGCGTCGAGCTGGGCGAGGAGACCAAATCTCGCAAAGAGGAGAAGGGGGCCACGCAATGGCGATGCGTCCTTGCCGTCGGTGGCATGACATGTGCCTCCTGTGCCAATACCATCAACGCCGAGTTGAACAAGAGAGACTGGATATCGAATGTTACCGTGAATCTGATCGCCAACAGCGTCGTCGTCGACTTCGCCATCAAAGGGAAGGAAAAAGACATTGCCAAGGCCATTGAGGACATCGGCTACGATGCCACCATAGCCTCCGTGGAGCAACTGGAATCCCATTTCGAGACCGCCCAGCAAAGGGAAAGGGTCGTCCAGATCTCCGTCGATGGGTTGTTCTGCAAACACTGCCCCGGCCGTCTCGTGCACTCCTTGACAGCCTTCAAGCCTAACCTCGAAATCCTATCGGAGCCCACCATCGAGAACCCCAAGCTCAAGATCAAGTACGTCCCCGATACGCCCACCTTCACCATTCGCCGAATCCTTTCCGCCATCGAGGCCACCGATCCGGCCTTTCACGCCTCGATATACCATCCGCCGACCCTGGAGGAGCGATCCAAAGCCGTGTCAGCGCGTTACCAACACCAGCTGCTGCTGAGGGTAATACTGAGCCTCATCGTCGCCGTGCCGACCTTCATCATCGGCATCGTTTACATGAGCCTCCTTCCGGACAGCAACCCCGGCAAACACTACCTGATGAGTCCCTGGATGTCTGGCATCAGCCGAATCCAGATTGCTCTCTTCATCCTCGCGACACCTGTCTACCTCTTCGCCGCCGATGTCTTTCACATCTGTGCAATAAAGGAATTGGTGAACCTATGGAGACCTGGAAGCAGGACGCCCATTTTACGTCGGTTCTACAATTTCGGGAGCATGAACTTGCTTATATCGCTCGGGACCACCATCGCCTACATATCATCCGTCAGCCAAATGATCGCGGCAGCCGTCCAGAAGCCGGAAAAGGCCGAGGATGAACACTTCTACTTCGACTCGGTCGTGTTCCTGACGCTGTTTCTGTTGCTGGGCCGTCTCATCGAGGCATACAGCAAAGCGAAAACCAGCGACGCGGTGGAGATGCTTGGCAAGCTGCGGCCGAGTACGGCCATCCTCGTCGAGAGGGACGATCGCGGTCGGGTGTCGGACTCGGTCGTCGGTGTCGATTTGGTGGAGTTTGGCGATACGATCCGGATCCCTCACGGCGCGTCCCCCGTCGCCGACGGTGTCGTCCTCCAAGGCGAGACCAGTTTCGACGAATCGAGCTTGACGGGCGAGTCCCGCCCCGTCAAGAAACGTCCCGGCGACGACCTGTTCGCCGGGACAGTCAACAAGGGGCCCGCAGTCCTTATGCGCGTAACTGGCGCGGCGGGGCGATCTATGCTCGACCAAATCGTACAAGTCGTGCGCGAAGGCCAGACCAAGCGTGCTCCCATCGAGCGCGTGGCGGACATGCTGACGGCATACTTCGTGCCCATTATCACGCTCTTCGCGATTCTGACTTGGGTGATCTGGACAGTCCTGGCTCACACCGGTGTGCTCCCGGACCACTACATCGACACCGAGAGCGGCCGGGTCGCCTTCGCCCTCCAGTTCGCCATTGCCGTTTTTGTCGTCGCCTGTCCCTGTGGTCTGGGCTTGGCCGCGCCGACGGCCATCTTCGTTGGAGGTGGTCTCGCCGCCAAGTATGGCATCTTGGCCAAGGGAGGCGGTGAAGCGTTCGAAAAGGCTAGCAAGATTGAGGTCGTCGTGTTCGACAAGACAGGCACTCTGACCGTGGGCGGTGAGCCGAAGATCACCGATGCCATCATATGTCCCGAAGCATTGGAAGAAGCACTGGTTACACAGGGCCGGAGGAGCACGCTGCTTGCGATCCTCAAGGAAATAGAAGGGAACAGCAGTCACCCCATCGCAAAGGCCATCGTCTCTTACTGCACCTCCGAAATCTCGGGGGCGGGGAAACAGGTCCTAGTCCAAGTCGTCGACGTGGAGGAACTGCCAGGCAAGGGCATGAAAGCCACGTGGAAGAGGAATGCACCAGAATGCACCTTGGACTTAATTGTGGGCAATGAGTCGCTCATGCGTGACTACTCGGTGCCTATTCCCCAGCACATCGCGGCCCAGCTGGAGGGGTGGAAGCTGGAAGCCAAGTCGGTAGCCCTCGCGGCAATTCGCAACACGACAATTCATAACGCGACAGCAGAAGCGAAGGGATCCGAAACCGACGGGTATCACCGACAGTGGCAGCTAGCAGCGGCGCTTTCCATCTCCGACCCCATCCGCCCGGAAGCCCAAGCCATCGTGCGCACGTTACAGAACCGAGGTACGCGCGTCTGGATGCTCTCGGGCGACAACGCGGTGACAGCGCGGGCGGTAGCCTCGCAGGTGGGCATCGGACCGTCCAACGTGCTAGCCGAGGTGCTCCCCTACCAAAAAGCCGAGAAGATCACCTACCTGCAGTCGACGCTCAAGGCCGCCGCGGGCCGCGGGGCAGGCAGGGTGGCCGAGGGAGGAGGTGGTGGTGATGACGACACGGCTGCACGACGTGCGATGGTGGCCATGGTCGGGGACGGGATCAACGACGCGCCGGCGCTGACGCGGGCCGATGTGGGCGTGGCCATCGGGAGCGGGAGCGACGTGGCCATCTCGAGCGCGGATTTTGTCCTCGTGTCGAGCGATCTCGGCGCCGTGGTGACGCTGCTTGAGCTCAGCCGCGCCGTGTTCCGCCGCATCCGGCTCAACTTTGGTTGGGCCGTCGTCTATAACATGCTGGCGCTGCCCGTGGCCGCCGGCTGCCTTTACCCGCTAACAACGTCGTCCGGGAAGCACATCAGATTGGACCCGGTGTGGGCGGCGCTGGCCATGGCGCTGAGCAGCATCAGCGTCGTCTTGAGTTCGTTGGCCTTGAGGTTGAGGATTTCGTGGATCGGGTTCCGGAGAGGTCACGCTTGATGTGGAAAAGGAGTATTGAGGGATTTTGTCTTGGACGGAGTTATGCTGGAGGTTAAACCCCGGATATGTATCATATAATTAAGGGCTCTTCGTTGACTTTAGATCGGGATTTGCTAGCAATTACGAACCCTTCTTTCACCGTCTGCTTCTATCATGTAGTTGGTGTGTTGAGACTTGTTAAGGTCTGGCACGTTTGCATGGTGTAAAAAGTGTCCGGTGATATTTCCAGCCGGCATGCCTTTTTGTTGAATTAACGGGAGTATGCTTATATAGAGGGTTGATTCAGGAAATGTATAATTATATTAAGTATAAAAGAAAAAGAAATAGAGGGCGGGTATATATATTCTAAATATATCTACTACCTTCTAAGCGAGGATAATAGGGCACCTAAATAAGCGTAAACTTCTATCTAACTACTATAAGGAAGTTCCAAATAGTAGTAGGTCCTTTAATCTTAGCTACCTTTTACTAATATACGTGTCTAATAAGGGTATTCTACTCTATATACTATATAGCTACTTTAGTATTAGCTTAATAAGCGTTTTATAAATACTTTTTATATACTTATTTTATCTCTTCCTTTATATAAGTACTACTCGGAGTAAAGCTATTCTTAAATTCCTTTAATATATAGCGTGTAAGGAACCAAGTGGTACTATAGATTAGCACTGTGTAGGATCGGAAATACGCTCGGATCGCCGAGCACTCGGCAAGACTAATATCGTATGGGCAGGACCACGACGTGGTCTATAGGGGATCCAGGGGGGATCCACTCCCTGACTAAGGGCTTCGGACCTCGGGTATCAGGATATAATAGGGGCGGATACCGGAAAAGACCGGATAGGATCCAAATAATATAGTACCTATAACAGAGTCTTCACTACCTAAATTAAGGTATAAGAGATTTACACGGATATAACTTAATATATTATATATACACGAGATTTCTGCTTTACTAAGGTAATTATCTAAGTGCTATTTAATATACGATAGTTATAAGCCCGGTTTATAACGTCTAAACGATAAATATTAATAAGGCTACCCCTATTCTACTATAAAAGTAATCACGTCTATATAATTACTCTTAAATAACTATTATTGACCTAATTAGAGTAATTAAGAGATTAATTAACCTACCTATTAATTAACTAACCGATAAACGATAAACTAGTAAAGATATCTTCTAATATATGTAACGCCGAATAGAAGGCAGCCGCCACTACCCTTATTAACTAAAGGGATTAGGTAATATAGGAGCACGCCGTGCACGGTAAATCTGCCTCCTACTAGGAAAATTATCTTAATCTAAAGCTAAGCGATAAGGAGGCCGATACCTACCTGCTTCTTAAGCCTACGCTACCTAATATCCGTAAATATAAAGCCCTCGCCGTGGAACCCGATACGGAGAAGGCCACGGCTACTCCGTTTTCTACTATTACGCTAAAGGGCGATAAGGCTATAGACGCCACGGACGCTATAGCTATAGCTATTATAGCCGGTGCCACGGCGGCCACGGCCGCTGGTAAGAGGAAGACGGCCGCTTACCGGAAGGTGACGGCCGTAACGAAAGAACCACCGATAAGGACGCCTACGTCTATTAACGACCTCTCGGAAAAGGGGCGTACGCGCTACCTATAAGATCGCCGCGTATACCGCGAGGAAAAGGTAGACTACGACGCGTAGTAGAAGGAGTTTAATAAGGTACGCTTATATATCGAAAGGACCGTTTATACTATATTATATAACCTCCTCGTATAGTTATAGGATAATAACATAAATAACCTATAAGCTTAGATTACCCTCCTACACGCGCACGCAGGACTAATACCTGTAGACCTCCGTAAGGAAGCCCTAGTCCCATACCGATAATATACCACGCCTATAAAGGCTATACCTATGGATATAGACGCCTAGGTAGTAAGCTAGAAAATAGCGATAATATACTATAAATATATAAGCGCTTTAGAGCTATTAAGCGCGGCCTATTAGGCGGAAGACGCGTTAAAAGCTATTAGACTTATCGCCTAAGAATAGAGTAATAACTACCTAGTAAATAACTATAATAAGATTACGGAAAATAAGCTAACGATTAACGACTTCGTAAAGACTTTACGGGCGGTTCTTAGTAATATAAAGAGCCTATAATCCACCGCTATAAAGCCTAGAGTTAGGAGAGGCACCTTTAATACCCTTAGGAACCTCCCCGATACTAAGGATACTACTAATAACGATAATAATAAAAAGCGCCCTCGTAGTAACACGTCCGTAAAGGCTATCCCTCCCGTAATAAGGAGGCCTTATAAGATATATAAGAACCCCTATACTACCGCCGCCTATTAATACGTAAGGCCGGATATATGCCCTTATACCTAGCGTGGCCGCGAAGATATTACGAAGGTTATAAAAAAGAAGATACGTAACTATAATTTTAAAAGCCGCGTAGACACCGCGATACAGAAAAGGCGGGAAGCCTTAGGGGCTATTACCGCTAATAAGATAGAGGAAGTCTAGGAAGATTAACTCTATAATACTACGCCTACTACTATAATAGTTTATAAAGACCTATCCGTTACCGCGACAGGACTAGGAGCCTACCTAACCTAGGGGGTGGCGCGTTATCATACGACGATACTATTAAGATTATAATAAGAATAAGGGGTAACCTTTTCTGTTAACTAAGCCAGAGCATTATTATACTACACGATCCTAGATTCAGGATCGTTAATCTATATCTTTAATAATCGAGGCTATTTTACGGCTATTAGACTACCTATAGATACTTTATCTTGAACCTTTTAGATGGGTACTTATAAGGCTTTTATCCTCGGATACGGAGACGTTAAGCTGCGTGTGTAATCCTTATCGGGTATAAAGAGGCTATTACGCCTTCGTGATATCGTATACTATAAGGAATTTATTACTAATATCGTCTCGGAATACTAGCTACGCCTATAAAGCTACTGCTAAAATACCGTAAATAATACTATCGTTAGCTCCGCCGATAACCGGCCTATCTATAAGCTACTAGATATCTACGGCTAGTATATAATCGAGCGCGCGGAAGCCACGGCCGCTACCACGTTCGCGGTCTTAGTAAGGCACTGTTACGGCCAACGGGCCTTATATGCACTAACACGAAGGATGCACTGGTATATAACGTACTAGGACGGTTAGCGTACCAGGACGTAACCAGAAGATGACTTAGGAAGAGGAATTACGTGCTCCGGCACGTGACCCCGCTGGGAAGGATATATTAGCACCACTGACAAGTATAGGCCAGGGCGCTATGGGGGCTACCTGGGTGGGCAACCTACTTCACGAATATTCACTAACGGAGAAGTAAATAATAAGTAAACACCTAGTGAACGTTATAGGGTTATTCACCAGGGACCTGGTGAATAATAAGCTATATATACCAGAGTATCCTAGGTCTTACTTCTACTAAAGAATAAGATATCGATTAATCTAAGTCTTTACCTAGACTACTATTCTACGCTTAAACCTACCTTATAAAGAAGACGCCTAGTCTTTACGATATAACTACGACCAGACTACTACGAATAATAGTTACTACTCTTTAGTTAATATCCTCTTCTTATTTAAACTAAAACCTCGATGCTAGTCCTCTATCGTCCGCTATACTATAGAGGACCGGAAGCCGTCGTAATATTTTGATCGATCCTGTTCGGTAAGTAGACCTTAACACCTAATAAGTAGTACTCTCTCGATAAAAAAGTAATATATCGAATAACGCTAGTACTACGGGTAACGCTACTAGTAACGCTAGAATAACGGCTACCGCGGCCGCCGACCTAATATAAGCTATACGTAATTAAATTATATAACTCTATCGAGAGAACTAGTAACTCCGAGCTTAGATCGAGGCACTATATCCTAGTAACCTAAGGTATAAATACCCAGAGCCACCTAAGTACGATAGAACTCGGGGATAGCTATAAGGCTTCCTAACCTATCTCCGGGGGTATTTCTTATTCTATAGGGATACCCTAACACGGAGGAGGCGAAAGTTCTTTATGCTATAGTACTCCTTACGGGAGACGTCTATAGGTGGTTTAAGCCTATCCACAGGGACTATTTAAAGCACCTTAACGATCCTACCGAGAGGGAGGACGATACTACGGCTATTTTCGGCGACTTAGAGATCTTCGCTTAGCGACTCGGCGGTATCTTCGGGTAACCTAATAAGAAAAAGGTCGCTGCCTAACGACTTAAAAAGCTTTAATAGACTAAGTCGGTAGCCGACTATACTATTAAGTTCTAATAAATCGCCTCGAAGCTTAACTATAATAATAAACCCCTTATAGACTAATACTATCGTGGACTTAAAGATAAAGTTAAGGATAAGCTATATAAGCTTAACCGCCCGGAAGATTTTAGCACGTTTATAGCTATAGCTATTCGGATCGATAACCGATAATTTAAACGATAAATAGAGAAACGCTAGAACTCGAATACTATAATACACGCTACTTACTATAGGAGGAACTAAGCTAATACTAGTAGAAAGCAGCTATACCTACGCTAATTCGGGAGCACCTTATATAAATACTATAGTAGTTCTATAAAGCTCGATAATATTAACCTATAAAGTAATAGACAGGGTAGGAAAGATATAATTAAAGTTAAATACTATGATTACGATAAGATAGGCTACTTCGCGCGTAATTATTAATAGCCTAAGAGAGAATAATCGTAGCGATAGGCTAATACGATCGGAAGAGAGAAGCCCTAGAAGGAGATTAACGCTATTAGATATCTGGAGATTTATAGGGACGAAACACTACACGCTAACCTTTATTAGATAACCTACTACGATAACTATTATCTAGTATACTAATTAGAGAAGGATAAAGCTAGATATTACCCTAAGAGACCCTAGAAGATACTCGCTATAGTATCTAGTAACGAGTACGATAACGACTATAGCCTCGAGATCCCCGACTAGGATAACGATAGACTAGCTTTATAAACTACCACGGAAATCCTCTAAGAATACGGGTAGACGAAAGAAGAAGCTAAAAGATAGGAGTAGATCTTAGAGATTTAGAAGAAATAGGAAGTCTACACGAATATTAGTAGTGGAGGCTTTAGTGCCCTCTAGGAAGTA